AGCTTGATCCAATCTCAATGGGAAATGGCAACTTTGAAACGAGGCTGTGTCAGGGTTTCCCACCATGGCCCTGCAATTCCATTCAGTTTGGGCAGCAACGTGGCAGCTTTAACTGGCTTGGTTCAGGACAGAGGATCAGAGTGGAGATGTTACATTTCCAAGCCAAATCCTGCCCTAGGAGAGTCAGAGGGTGCATGTGGCATTTGATCCAATCTCAATGGGAAATGGCAACTTTGAAACGAGGCTGTGTCAGGGTTTCCCACCATGGCCCTGCAATTCCATTCAGTTTGGGCAGCAACGTGGCAGCTTTAACTGGCTTGGTTCAGGACAGAGGATCAGAGTGGAGATGTTACATTTCCAAGCCAAATCCTGCCCTAGGAGAGTCAGAGGGTGCATGTGGCATTTTGGGGGGGCTAGTGACACCAGCACCTTTCTGGCCTCTGCTCCTTTTGCTTTTTCCTATAAGGCTGTTTTTCCTGGAGTGGAGACAAAAAGGAATTTGGGTGGGGGAGGGGGAGGGAGATTCTTGGGGTGGAGAGAGAGAGAGGGGAAGGCACATAAGGGGATAAGAAGAAAACTTTCAAGTGACATTGAATACCAAAACAACTGCAGCCGCTGGTCCCACAAAGGCATAGAGAAGGCCTCCTTCTAGTGACAGCCAACAGCTGGAAAACAAGAAGAGAGAAAAGAAGTCAGCCCCAATGTTGGAAGGTGTAACACTATACGGACAGTGCTAGTACTGGACAAATAACTGATTTTGTAGCATGCTGGCAATTCTAAATATCCAGGGGAAATCAGTTCAGGTAGAGCTGAAAATGAAAAAAAAAAGGCAAATCATTAAGTCTAAAAAATGTGGTTGGGGGGGAACACATGTTTTATTTGGCCTGGACTGTCATGTTTGAAGGCTTTTTTTTACACATTCTTTAATTTTTTAAAAAGGAATTTTGAAACAAAAAGTCATTTTGAATTGAAAAAAGAGATGATCCATTTAAAAATGTCAATATGAAACATGCTGACTCTTTTCAGATTCCTTTTCTTTCTGCTTTTCTCAATGCAAACAGTTCGACAGGAATTGCTAAATATTTTGGGGATTGTCGAATCTGTGCTTTTCATGGGAAAATAGTTTCAGCCAGAAAATGGCACCCAGCCCTTGTCGGTATCGTGTTTATATACTGTCAGTTTCATTTCTGGCTTCTCAGGACTTGCACAAAGTGATCTAAGCTCTTTGGATTTGTCCGCAAAAAGGAGTCAAAAAATGCTCGCATTGAAATAAAAGAAAATCTGTGTCAATTTGTACCCCCTTCTGCAAAACCCATTTCAACATGTACAAGTCATTGTTCTGCTCAGCCACGCAGGGGGAGCAAAAAGGAGAAAGCTGTTTTCACCTCACTTCTTTGCCAGAGAAGGACCTGTATGTATCCTGATCCTCGGATCAGCACACAGTGCAACCTCTTGCTCTCCAAGTTGGAGCAGAAGGGGCTGGTGTGGGGAATCTTGTCAGTGTCCCCAATATTGGTCTGTAAGCAAGGGTGCCGTTTCGGGAAGGTATGGGGGGCAGCTGCTGTGTGCTCTAGGATGCAGCTTGCTTTTCATTTGGTTCCCCATTTGCTAAGGGAGTGAGGGGAAGCTGCTTGCAATCCATGCATGCCTCTCGCAGCTGGCTGGGTGTGAAGGGAGCTCACCAGCCAGGTATGAGAAGCATGCACTGATTGCAAGCACTTTCCCCTCACTCCCTTAGCGCCCGGGGAACCGGATGAAAAGCAAGCCGCGTCCCAGAGCGCACTTCTGCTGCCCGACTCTCCCGAAACGGCGCCCTTGTCCATAAGAGACCAGCACAACAGGGCCTGTATGCTTGATTAGGGTTCCCAAATGCCCCAATACTATAAGGAATCAACAGTAACAACTGGAGTGGTACATGTACCAGAATTTCAGTTCACAGGGAAATTTCACGATTGCAGAATGACTTTTCTTTTCTGAATTGGGAGGAAACTTTGGCCTTTGGAATGTCCCAGGAAAATTCCATTTCAGGTCCATCAAAACTTCTGGACCATTTCCCCCTCCTCAAAATGCTTCACCCCACTGTCTATTTAAAAACGAAATGTGGCTGGAATCGATGCATTCCTACAAGAACTTTCCATGCCATCAAACCAGCATTTTCCAAGGGGAGACTGGGCTTTGGGACATTGTGTAACCGGCTCTAACCACAACAGAGGTACAAAGGGACAGCAAGCACCTCTCCAGCAAGGGCTGCGGTAACTGACTTCCCTGACACGTGCAAGAGAGAGGCAGGGGATAATTGTGACCCAGAGATGCCTGACTCCTCCCGCCTCCCAGAACCCTACCTTGGAACGTGTTGCCTACATCCTACACCCAGCTCCGTGCTGTGCCTACGACTCAGTGCAGCCCTACCTTTGGGAGCTGCTCCCCTGTGTCACCTTTCAACAGCGGGGAGAGCGGTGGCTGAAGGGAGCTGGGAGGAGGAGGCAGGCAGCGATGTGCTACCCCGCCAGCCTGCACGGAAAAGCTTTGAGTGATGGAACTGACAGCGCTCCGTCCCGCGCTGCAATTAGCTGGGAGGATTCAGATTGACAAGGGCTTTTGTTCCCTCCACATCCCTGGCAGCCCCTCTCCTCCCTTCGAATGTCAGGCTTTCTGAAGGGGAATTCACACATCGCCAAGCATTGTCCCTCATCCTTTCTGACTGCCTGGACCGCTGTTTAACAGCGCTTAATTGAAGCGCTTTCATGCAAAGCTGTCAGATGGGATGGCTGGTGGCAGAGATGTGGAGAGGGCGAGGCTGGCTTCTACAGTGGTTCCAGGCAGGAAACTCCAGAGACGGTTGTTAGCCTACTGCAGCGATTCTCAGCTGCTTGCGTATCAGGATCTTGGGATGCTACAAACCCCGTGAAATTAATGCAAATACAGCTAACATTTCCAGAACACCTTCCACTGACGGGTCCTACAGGGCTTTATGGATGGCATGCACAGGGGATCCTGTCAGCACCACTGAAATGCAGCCGTATCTGGGGTGGAACATACCAGCTGTTTAGCCGCACACCACAACATCGTGACAGTGTCTAGACCAGAAGTGAAAAATATCCTTTGGCGTTAGACATCCTTTGTGATCTGTTCTGTGTCCAATCCTTTTCTGAATTCCCCAGGAGCTGAACTGGTACTGTGATCTTGTACTGGCCCACTGTACAGCAGTGGATTTAACCAGTAAGTCATTTTCAGAGGCAAGTCTTCTTGCCCAGAATATGGATCTTGTGCCAGCATCTGGCAGCTGATATATTTATAATAGAGGGGCCAGAGCTGGGGACTCAGAGCTCTGTGGCAAAGATTAATGTGGCGTGCTCCCCCCCTGCATCATGGCTTCTTGGTCATGAAAAGAGGTGACTAAGAGGGGATAGGATAGAGGTTTATAAAACTTTGACTGGTGTGGAGAAAGTGAATAAAGAAGTTATTTACTCCTTCTCATAACACAAAAACTAGGGGGTCATCAAATAAATTTAATAGGTTTAAAACAAACAAAAGGAAGTACTTCTTCCCACAACAAGTAGTTAATCTGTGGAACTCCTTGCCAGAGGATGTTGTGAAGTCCAATTCTATAACACGGTTCAAGAAAGAACTAGATAAATTCATGGAGGACAGGTTCATCAATGACTAATAGCCAGGATGGGCAGGAATGGTGTCCCTAGCCTCTGATTGTCAGAAGCAGGGAATGGGTGATGGGATGGATCGTCTGATGATTAACTGTTCTTTTCATTCTCTCTGGGGCACCTGGCATTGGCCAAGGTTGGGAGACAGGACACTGGGCTAGATGGGCCCTTGGTCTGACCCAGTGTAGCCCTTCTTATGACTGACACAGTATCTAGAGATGGGTCTGCACCCACACAACCCCTCTAGACACCAGCTCCAAATCTCATCAATGACTCACATGTCTCTGTAGTGGGCACGAACAAAACCCACGGCTGTACCGTGGCACCACATGGCGTGAAGCAGACCACTGCTTGACTCTCCTCACCCAGAGGGGCCCTGGGACGCCTCTGGGGTGGGGGTCCTCTCTGGGATACGTGGGGAAGTGTTCTCAAAGCTTGTCAGTTGCACTGCTCTAAGCCATAGGCATGGATGTGAACCCTCCAGTGAGAGTGTGGGGCCCTGTCTTGCTGAGCCACAGAGGCGATGAGTTGTTGCAGCCCGCATCAACAGAGTCTTGTTGCTTTCCCTCACACCCTAGCCGCTCCTGCTTTTAGCTCTGGCGGTTCCCCAGTTCAATCCCCTGTACGTTGGCTAAGAGGGTGGCTGTCACACATGCACTCAACAGAACAGGGTAAATGGCCGCTAGGCAGACGGAGGGTTTATTGCACTTGGGACACCCACGCGGTGCAGGGGAAGGATGGCAAGTGGGTTTCCCGGTAACCGGAAGGCTTTTCTATCAAACGTTGTTAAAAACAAGTCAGAAGGTTTTTTTTCCCCTTTTACATGGATGTTGGGAAGCACCCCAAAAGCAGAGCACTGAGCAATGAAGGAGATACGCTGGCACAGGGAAAGATGCGCCCAAGAAAACGGCCCATCAATGAGCCTCAGAAACATAAATAAGGACAAACTCTGAAGTCCTTTGTTTTTTATGCAGAACAAATTCTCTGGGATCTCAGGATGATCACATGGCTCCGTCCTGCCAGCTGAAAGAGCCCCTCAAAAATGACCTCAGGCCCTGTTCTCTCCCAGCAATATGTTGATTACGTTAACTCCCCAAACGAGGAGGTGTAGGGCCATGCACTGATTCCAAGTGCGACTGGATGATGCAGACACGGCAGCTCATTCCCACAGCACCCAGATACAAAAATGTTGCTTTGTAAGACATTTACAGATACCTGGCAGCACTAAGCCGACTCCGCTGGATGTTTCCCTTGCAGGCGAGATCAAAAGACAAGCTGCTGCCGAATGCAAGGGTGAGAACCAAAGTCTACACTCAGATGAGTTGTGTCTGCCTTAACCACACAGCTCCAGGAGCATGCCCGGCTCCCTGATCTAACGCACTTACTGTTCTGGTCAGAATCGCAGCGTTAAAAAAAGCTTAGAGGGACATTGTCAAGTCCCTTACAGTTCAGATGTCAGCTCTTATCCCCTTCCGCGGTTCTTCCCTGCAAACCGGCATTTCGGAAAGCCGACCAAGGGAGTGCAGGACAAGCTATTTCATGGCATCCCATTAAAAGCTGTGATGGGCTGTCAGGTTGTGCACAGTTTAAACCAATGGGATGGCACTTTGGGGAGCATGGCTAAAGGTCCTGTCCCTTCCATTCCTTCAAGACGGCACGGGCTCAAGATGAAACATCAGGCTGACGAGACCAGAAAGGCTCCCCGAAGATCAGAACGCAGAGCATTTCACAACGACTCGGTGTCTAGCGATGGGTCTGAACCAACCCGACCCATCTAGACACCAGCTCCAAATCTTGCTGCTGACTCTCACGTCTCTATAGTGGTCACAAACCAACATCCAAAGATCCAAGCCCCCGCACGGCTCGGGGAAGCGCAGATCCAGAGCTACACTCTGAGAATTAGCTCCGTTGAGAGGAAAGGGCCAGTCAAAACCCCAAGTCTGAACAACCCTAGACCTTGCGGAAGTTTACCTTGGGATTCAAGCATTGTTGAGTCTCCAGCCCAGTGCTGATTTTATCCCCTGGATGAAAAGCAAGGGCTTCACCCTGTAGGGAGACGTGCATTTGTGCAAGAATGGGGACTCTTATTCTCTTGACCATTCGGACCACGCTCCAGGGAGGTAAGGGCTTCAGTCCGCTGTACACGTCACTTCCTGACTCTAACTGGTGTCATGCTGATGTGTCCCATCCCACTCCAGAAGTGACTGTTTTCCAGAAGTGGGCATAAAGAAGCCCATGGAGGGAGAGTTTCATAAGGTGCGTTAATGTCATATGGAAGAAAGGCACCAATCTATCAATGGGTTAGCCGAGAGAACAGGAAGTTAGGAGACCTTGACTCTGTTCCCAACTCTGCCACTGACATCTGCGGCCTTAGGGCAGTCACTTATCTCCTCTGGGTCTCGGTTTCCCTATCTGTACAATGGGGATAATCCTGAGCCAATGCTCTGAGATCCCTGGTGAAAAGGGGGATGTCTAAATGCCAGGTATTTGCCGCTCCTCAGAACGATGACCAAATGAAAGGCCGAATGGATCACTAATGACATCCGCCAAGCTCTGAGCTGCTCAGGGGAGACAGGGGCACCTGCTAGCACAGCTCTGTTCTTCTCACTGACCGTGCCCGCTGGGGCACCTCATGCCGTGTCCATCCTTGGGCACCGAGAGCAGGTCTTTAACGGTGCATGACAGTGCCACACGAAAACAGAACTTCCTGCTCTGTTGGAGTCAAAGGGAGACAGCTGCAGGCTCAGTCCCTGGGAGGGTTTTGCCGGGGTACAGGTCACTCTCACAGGCAAGCCGTGCTGCCCAAGAGGGAGCTAGCGAGGTGCTAATGCGATGGGCCCTACAGGGACATGCCCCACTCTCTCCCCTCCTCTTCCAGAGCCACCTGCGGATTGCACATCCCTGCCTCCACTCAGCCAGGCTCTCAGAGCTCCGCTAGCCTTTGCTGCCTACCAATTACAGCGAGCTCAGAGCAACTCCCAACTGGTCCTTCCTGTACCGTGCTCTGGCCTGCCTCGTGTCCTGCCGCCACGCTGCGCACAGCCAGGCCCGCGCTGCGGGATGTGTCTATAGCCCCCGAGGGGTTAAACTAAGCCTGAGTCCCCCGGCACCGTGGCTGATCGGTTCTCTCTCCCGTTAACTGACGGCAGCAGATGTTTGCAGGGGACGGGCTCTTTGCAAATGATCTCCGTGCGCTTCCCTGAGCGACTCGCGAAAACAGCTGCAGTAGGCGTCACCGCAGAGGCGGGACCAGAACAGTGGTGAGGACTGCACACACACACACACACACGAATGCAAAGCCCTCAGTGGCTTTGCAGAGCGGTGCTTTTTTTTTTAAATGGAAATGTCAGATGGATGGATGGTTTCTTCTGCTCACAGCCCTCTCCCCACGTGCACTGACCAAGATGTGCCCCTCACCCAGGCAGGACTGGTGCAGTCATCACCCACGGGGGGCTCCGAGGCTGCTCTGCCTCACGCCGGGAAGTCTGATCTCCTCTAACTCGAGCAAGGAGTGGCAGCCGGACGGCAGCGTTCCACATGGCTGACAGGCTGATGTCACAGCAGCCTGTTGGGCCCTTTGCAAGCACAGAGCCCTGATGACAGAGGAGCCGGGTGGGTGTCTCCGTTCACGGCCCCCCGTTTGTGCTGGGGCGGGAGGGCAAGGGAAGCCGGT